TCCTCAGCCCCACCAGACCACTGAGATCACGCCCAGCCAGGTGGAGGAGTCAGGATGTGTAAATGGAGTAAAGATAAACACCAGGGATTTCATGTATTTGCCTTAGTCTTGAATTTGCTGTAATGAATAGAATCCGAGGCCAGTTATGAAAGATGAGGAGGGTTTTGTTACTATAGCATTCACTGAAGTATGCGAGCAGATTGGTTTGCTAGCCATTTAAAAAATCAGAAGTACATTAAAACAGACCACGTTCAAGGACATAGATTCATTTTTCATTTGTAAGATTAATATAAACATTCCTTTGTCTACCTCCAGTGGAGAGACCCACACTGTTTATAGATTCTGTACTTTAGAAAAATGCGTTTCATGTCATGTGTGTTCATGGTAGCAAATTGTGTCATAGAACAGCTGAATGAGCTAAATGTTACAGTGATAGCAAAAGCCTGCTCAGTGATGCATAAAACTGGCTCCATGGTCCTATTTGACTCTTGTTGTTGGGTAGAGATTCACAGAGATTGCAAAGTCAAACACAGATCACAGTCATTAACAGAGTCAAATTCTTCACCAAAAACACAGAGCACATTATTTCCTTCTGTCTGAATGGAGCATTCTCAGATTTATTTCTTAAAAACAAAACGTGAGCTGTTCTTTATTGGGTTTTTTTTACCATATTCCGATGTGACGATTGGTGTTGTCCACAGTGATAATTAATAATGTGTTTCTAGTCAAAGAAAACTGTTGACGGGTGTAGACATAGAACAGTTTGTACTGTCAGTCTAAAATAGTTTAAATGTAGTTTGAGTTGCAAAATCTGATTAAATGCCACCTGAAAAAATACCATCTGGACATTGATATGAGTCAGTCTTCTCTGTCAAGTGTAAAAAAAATGCAAAACTCAGCTTTTAACACATTTGCATCTCTAACAGATGCATTAACCTATTCTGACTTCCTCCCACCATTCAAAATCCAGCACATTTGATTAATTGGTGGCTTTAAAGTGTCTTTAGGAATGCTGGTGAGCATCGTGTAGTTTGTGTTTGTGCAACCCTGTGATGGACTGGTCGCCCACACAGGGTACAGATTTCCCCCCATGTCCATGTCCCCCCATGAACAGGCTCCAGACCCACAATCCTGAATTGGAATAAGTGGGTAGAAAATGGATAGATGGACGTATATCAACTTTTTCAAAACCTGCCTCTCTATATGTGTAACCATCCATTTACAACACTGCAAAGATTTGCTCTGCTCTAAAATGGCCTGTCATTAAACATTGTTAAACATAAGCTAAGCAGTATCATAAATCATTCATAACTGCGTGTATGCCATTTATAGATACTTCAAGATTAGTGGTGAAATAATCTTAACAGCAATGATAATAGAGATAAAACAGCCAATTATGTTTTGCATATGGGCATCTTTTTATTGGTTATGAAAGTAAACCAGTGGGAGTAAAGACATTCCGCTTTAAGAAAAACAACATAACCTGCAATTTAATTTATCAGGATTTCTATTGTCTAAATTTAATTAAAAATTCATCCTTTCGCCGAAACGCAAAAACAAACACAGCTTAAGCTAAAGTCTGGTTTATTTATGAAGTACATCCTCTGTATACCCAAAGTACAGCACATTCAGTGTTGTGTTTGCACACATCGCTCTCCTTCACTCTGCAGTTTCCCCTCATAAAAACATCCAGTTGTGATAATGTCCAAAGAAGACACCCAAGCTGAGATAAAAAAAAAAGATCTGATAGGTGTGCTTAAAGTAAAAAGTGATTCAATTTAGCTGGAAGCTAAGGCTACAATCGATACTCTACCCATGAGACTGTTGTAGCTAAGGGCTTTTCATGGCAGGTTTCACCTTTCACCCTCAGCACTAATCACACTTTGAACCTTCTTACATAAATGCATTACAGACCCATTCTTGACCAAAGCCTGATAATCAAACCAACCAGCATTCATGGCAATCTTTTAAAGTGTTATAAATGAGGAGAGGTGTCTGTTTTGCATTGTACAATGGTTTCTTTTGGTTTTAATTCAACTCTCGTCTTCCTTATTTTAAACCGAAGGTGATTCAAGAATATTTTCTAACATAAACAAATTCAGATGTATTCTACATACTATATAGTGTTGTATTTTATGGAAAATTCACAAGCTTTCTGGAGGAATTTCCATATATATGATTGGAAAGATAATAGATATCTTAATGTGGCACACAGGAGCAACAAAACTGAATTCTTACAGTTTTATCTTCACCTTTCCAGAGGCATTTTCTCATGTATAGATTTGGCCAGTGAAGATTAAGAGAATAACCAACATTATTATGAACAAGTCTACTATCTATATGTTGGCATTGCCACATCAGTATGATGATTGTTTTTGTTGGGTTTGTTTTTCATTTCTTCAGGGTATCCATACATTGTGAATTCATATCCCACAGGATAATCTTTGGAATCCCATCAGTGCTTCATATCCCGTACTGGAAAAATCTGCTTTACTGACTGTACTGTTTATCTCGCTTTTCAAACGAATCAGACGATGAAAAAGAATCCAAAGCAAACATTGAGATTGCATAGCAGTTCATTCACAGTCCACCAATGTTTTTTGAGTCTTTGCCAGGTTTCATTTGCAGAGGGCTGCCGGATCCTGGAGTTGCACACTCCTCTGGTGGAGAAAGGGCTTCACTGCAGGCACAACTTGGAGGAATGTGCGCTTAATAGAAAAAATAGTTTCAGTGAAATACTGACAGCAGTTGCTAAAACATAGTTATGTAGACTGGCTTTTTTTTTGCCATTTCTGAATATATTGATGCCCAAAGTATTTCAACTGGTTCCTTTGGATTTCGAGAAGCTGGGACTCTCTTTGGTTCTGCTGATGGATTGAATTTGTACATAACACCAGCTTTTCAGTTTGAGAACAACACAGGGTGTGTGATCTACATAACTTGTTGGTGGTTATCGATACATTCAATGACACAGCAAAGTTCTCGAATGTAATTGTTTTATGTACTGAATTTTCACAACTGAAAAGACATAAAAGGGGAAAAAGAATGGCTCCCATTTCATTTTCTGACTAAACGTACTTCCATTTGTCTTATTAATGCTTTACAATGTTGCCATTTTAAAGTCATGCCAAGCTGAAAAGGAAAAAAAAATAAAAAATGTCAAGCTTATTTTCTCAGGGACTTTGTTCAGATGAGTAAATCTCTATTGAATCATGATGCAAAATATTTTTTTCTACTTTTCTGCATTTTTAATCTGTTTTCATTCAATTTCTTGTTTATTTGTACTTCAATAAAAAAAATCTGAAAAAAAATTGCTGAAAACATCTTGGACTTAATGGTTATAAATTTTCCTCTTTTTTGTGGCTTTAAAAATAGATGTTACTCCATTTCAAAGCATGATCCTAACAAAAGAGGATGCTCAACATGTGTACTTTTCACATGAAGCAGGGCTAAAATGTCACTGCGAGCCACTTGTACTCATACGCCACACTGTTGAGGGGTTTAAAACTATTCTCAGTGGGAATTACATTCCTCGTGTAGCATGTAGTTTGCTACACACTGGGAACTTGTTGCAACTGGTTCAATTTTCTTCCCTCAAAAGAACCCCAGAGCTCTGACCTCCACTCTATGACATTTCATAACAAGACATTCCCGGTTTTAAGACCATTGCCAAGGAGACAAGGATTTTATCAAGGCACTTAGAGCTCTACTGAACTAATTGCCACCCAGCGGACTTAAATCACATTTAAATTTATCCTTAGCATTAAAAGACCCATAAATTCACCTTCTCTCTGTAAAATAAAATTCATTTGTTGTTAAATGAAGTGAATCTCCCCAGCTCCTTGCAGACATCAGTTATTGTACACCCATGAATATCAGTGACTTTAAAATTTTGAGTCTTTTTCAGAGACTACTAATAAATAAATAAAATATCAAATAAATACATTTTAGCACGAACAGTTAGGAAGGACATTTTGTGAATTTTAAATCTGACCAGAGCTGAATTGATGACACATAAGTCCTGGACTTATGTGAATAGTCATATTGACAGAAGATGCTATGGCCAAGCCTTTAAGGGCGAAAACAGTTTTAGTTGCAATACCAAATGTTATGCTTTCTAACAACACAAATTGCATTTTGAAACAGCCTGTGAAGAAGAGAAGCTGTATTGGGAATTAGGTTGTATTACACTGTATACATCTGCATATAAAGTAGGCAACAAGCAGGTATATTTTAGGGTTGGCACACAACAGAATGCAAATGCAACGTAATGATTTCAGGTATATGCTAATTAGTCTATAATGAGATCCAGTCACATCTGGTGACATTTATAGTATCTTTTCCTGGCTTTAGCTATTTTTATCAAACGCAGCTGGAACACTGATGGAAAAATAAGGAAATGATTTCTGGGTAATGCTCATAATAATATGTAATTCACTCATTTAACTTCATTTGCACAAATAGTGTTTTTTCAATGATTGCGTATTCATGCTTCTCAAGTAAATTTACCATTTTATGAAATTACATGATAGAATTTAGATAAAGTCATATGTACAAAATGAAGTTGACAACATCTTCATTTTTGAAGAACAGCAAACCAAAAGCTGGCTTAAAAGCATTTCTAACCAGTCTATCCATATCATAACCAGCAAATGAACCAGCTGCTTTTTGTTGCTGTTTGTTGGATTGCATTTGCATCGTATTTAACAGTTAAAACTTAGCTCATTGTCTGTAACAGATGACAGACTATATCTAACCACTAAAATTTGGTTAATAAAAAATGACTTTCCCAATGAGATAACTGAGACATTTAAATATTTTTGTCAGTTTGAACATTGAGCAATATAGAGCCACTTATCACACAAGAGCACCTTTTACTCAGTTTTTAGGCATTTAAATAGAGACGTCACATCTTGACGACTGATCACGAATCACAGATTGGTTGAAATGCTTATAATTACTGTACAGACAGTCCAAAAGACAAACGGGAGCCCGTTAAATTCTTTGAAAGTGTTAAATGATTTTGAGTCATATAAGCTTGTAACAAACAAATACAAAGCAAAAAGATTTTTTCAAAAACATATTAAAAATAATAAGGAAATATTAAATGACAACATCTTTAAAATTAATTTGATCCAGTAACTGTTCCTGCATCACTTTCAACACAATCACCAACTGAGATTACATCACAACTTTTCTAGGAGTCATAATAAAGAATGACATAATATCCGACTAGAATGAGTCTTGTGTGCCATCCTGTATGTTGTAAACATGAAACAAGAGTTCAAGTGACAAGAACATGGTATAAATGCTGAGATCCTCAACAAAACATCTCCAAAAAGCTTAAATAGAAACACACTTAAATATAAACCTGGTGGAGGTGGGTTACCTGAGCAGTGTGAGCGGAATTAGCTCAGTGGAATAAACAATATCAACGTAAATCCTCACTAAAGCCTGCTAATCCATAATCCCACTGGCCCTGCACCAGCCCCTTTAGTCCCTGTGCAAGGCCTGTCCAACAACACACAGGTCTGGATGTGACGCAGAGCGTGGTGCTGTACTGAGGTCTGATTGGCTGCTCCATAGTTCATTGTCCCTTGTAGCTTCATCAGCTAGCCTGTAAGAGAGAATGAAAGTTACCTTTAGAAATTAGGGAAGTGTGCCAAGGCTGTTCAAGTGTTCTTCACACAGCTACAGTCTACTAAAGTAGACTTGCAACAAATATGTAATACCACATGAAAAAGTCTTCTATTTTATCTCATTCAGAATTCAACAGACTGAACATATTACAGATGAATCTCTGTGTTTCCAATGATTGTTTTATTCTATTCTATTTGAAAAAATACAAACTTTATCAACTTTTCACCATTTAGATTGAAATAAGGTAACATAATATCCAACATTTCATAGTGTTGGTATAAAATCGTTCAGTGTAAACTTGAATGAAATGCATCTGGTTACCTTGTGGCATACTTTTTTAATGGTCTTTGAAGAAGATTTTAATGTCCTGCATCTTCAAGAACCAGTCAAAAATAAGTCCTGCTAGTTTCTACTCAACACCGGTATAAATTGTGGATATATCTCACCCCTTTGAATATATAACTGGTTCACTCCCACAAGTCTCTGCCACTGAGATCCCAGATGATTGTGGCTGCTGATTTAAACTTGGCCTTCGGTCCGATTGGCTCCGTCGGACAAAGGGTCGAGGTCCTTGAACGGACACCGGAAACCTACCACGACCCCCCCAGGTATGTGACATAAAAGAAACTCTGTTAGACGTCCAAGCTTGAGGTGGTTGGGGAACTGTACAAGGCTGGGCCTCAAACATGGATGGAGACACAGGGCAGAAGACTGAACGTGCATTACTGAACGACCGGGCGGTAGATGAGTCGTCATTGCTGTTCTCCCTCGACCATCTCTGCACTTTTGGCGACGCTGGTGGAGATGGGGCTTTGAAAGAGTATGATTGGGCTGAGTTTGAATTTGGGGCGTTCTGCTTCAACACGGGCGGGCTCGGAAGCCTCCTCTGAACGGCTGGTGGCGTCGGAAGTGCCCTGTTTACAGGGGGACTTGCTGTGGAGGGTGGCGAGGTTGGCTTTCTGAAGCTGTTGGGACTGGGAAGTCTTCGGTGTTGACTGCTTGGGGTTGAAGGTGTGGAAGGTAACATTCGCCCTCTGGAGGTAGGAGGGGTGGCAGGTGTTTGGGTATTGGCTGGAGGTAAAGGAGGCACTGTAGATGTTGTGGTTCTAGATCCAGGCACTGAAACGTTTTCACAATGCTGAAGGTCTCTTGACGCTCCTTGACTTTTGGATGTTGACGATGCTTCTGAATTAGAGTCTGCAGACTGTCGCAAGTGTATAATTTTTCTGGACTGCTGATGTAAAGAATCCGTTTCCCCTCCTTGATCCATCTCCGGTTGAATATCTGGTTGGTCGATCTTTGATGTAGTCAGTTTTTCTTTTCTATCTACTCGTGCAGAAGAAATAACTTTAGACTGCGGCAAAGCTCCTTTACTTGGCAGCACCGTAACAGACTGGACTGAAGCCTTCAGTCGTTGAGATACTGCAGCCCTTTTTAGCACAGGAGACTTTCCTGCTTTTGCAGCACCGTCTCCTGCTGTGGTCGAACAGTTATGTGCACGTTCAAAGGAATTATCCATTAACACCTCCAGTGGTGGTGGAGGAAAACTGTCCAGATCGAAGAAATCAGGTTTCTCTGCGGCTGGGTCTGGCCTGCAGCTTGTAACCCCAGCACTGAGTACAGCCTCTACATTTCCTAAACCAGGCAATACTGGAACACCACACTTACGCACACCCTTCAGAGGCCCAAGAACTTTAGGACCATCAAGTTCAAGTTCAATGCCTTGGCTGAAGGTATCGATCAGCTTTTTGACTGAATTCCTGCCTCTGTGGAGGCCAGAGGACGGCCGTGGTGATGAAGGAGGGCTTGGTGGTGGGGTTGCTCTTATAGGATTTTTAGGAGTTTTCTGTTCTATCTGTTTATCTTCTTCCACTTCATTAGTTTTATCCTCTTTTTTAGTGATGGGCCTTGTCAGACTTGCCTTCTCTTTGAGTGGTTTGGGGTTGATATCTTTACCCATTGTGGGGTGTTTTCGGTTTATTACTGGAGACTGTGCTGGCGAGTTCCCTTGTGTTTGTTTAGGCAACACAGTCCTTGAATTTGCTCCCGTCTTGCTTTTACCCATCTTCTGTAATTTCTGATGTAAATCCTTCTGTGTCCTTTCTAGTTCAAGCAGTGTAGGGTCTTCCCCTTTGCTCCGCAGAGATTCTGCTGACCTAGAACGCTGGCCTCTACCCTGTACAGTACTTTTACCCACTGCCCTCCGAACAGGGGCAGCAGTTTGAGGCCTCTTTGGAGATCGTACATCCTCATCAGTCCATTCTCGTCTGGTGGTTTTTGGGCTGCCTGCTATGTTAACTTTGGCACCACTGTTCTGTTTTGGAACAAAATTAATGCGACCACTTATAGCATTTTTCATTTTGAGAGTCATATCTACATTTTGAGGATTCTCTATGCGCTTTGGAGGGAGGCGATGTGGATGTTTTTCACTCTCAGCAGATGAAGAATTGGATTGCATTCTAAAGACTACTTGAACATTTCCCACAGTTGTCTGTGCATCATTCTCATCAATTTCATCGTCCTCCCCATCATCGAAGGAGACAGATCCTAACAATGAGTCTCTTGGATCATGAGCCGTTATGGTACATGTAGAACCGAGTGAGTTTAGGGAGGTGAGTGAAACACTTGGACTAATTTGACTTTGATACTTTTGCCTTGACGATCCCATAAAGTTCTTGGAGATGTATTCCATTGGACTGTCAGTAGTTCTGTTTGTTCCAGTGGAGCCACCACTCCATCGTCTGTGGCGTTTTTCAGATCCAGCGAGGGATTCATTTTCAGCCCCAATTCCACTGTCCTCGCTAAACAGAGCAGAATCCTCCGGCCCAGGTTTGCGCAGTGATGCCATTTCAATCCGCGTCAAGAGTTGCATTAATCTGGCCTCCGCTGCTCGTTTGGCCTTCAGTTTTAGTTCCAAAAGTTCTGAGACGGAGGCAAAATACTCCACTGCCTCCTCCAAAGAAGAGTCCCCAATCCCACCAACAGTCTGACTCACATTTCTCATTCTCTGTGTGGTGTACTGAAGCAGCTGCTGCAACAAATCCGGTGGGGGCTCAGTGTTATTAGCAGTGCCTGGCTTCAGGGGATGGGAGGAGGAGAGGTTTTTCATTTGGCTTTGCCAAGCAAGATGCTCTCCATTTTCTTTTAAAACTTTCTCTCCCTCCTCTGCCATCTCTTCCAGTCCCTGAATGATTTCCTCGTAGCGTAAAGCCATGAAGACCACCATTGGCTGAACATGAGCTTGAGTTTGGGTGACCTGTTCCAAAAGTCCAAGTAGAACATCGTATTTGTTGATGCTGGGATTCAAAAAGGAATAAGCAGCTTGGTGAGCTTTTACCAAAGGTTCAGGAAAGTCCACTTTCTGATCCGTGGATGACTTGTCTTTGTCCCTGTCTTTCTTTTTGGGACATTTCACACCTTTGGCACTTTTCTTTGGTTTCTTAGTTGACTTTTTGTCTGTTAAATCTTGCTTATCGTTGTTTTTCTCTTTCCTCTGTGATACTATGTCTTTATCCATTATTTGATCTTCCCTTTTATCTGTATGCACTGCTTCCATGGGCATTTGTTCAGTTACATTTTTCTTTCTTTGTGGAGTAATTTGTGCCTCTTTCTGAGATACCTGGACATGTGCAGCCGCCTTCGTCTCCTTCGTATCTCCATTTGCGGATCCTGTTGAATTCTGTCTGTCTCCTTCTTCACACCCTTTTTCGTTCGGTACAGGGGGTAGCATTCTCCCCTTTCTCATTGTAACCAAAGAACCAAAATGGTTACCTTTGGACGGTGAGCAGCCCATTTCTGATGATTTCCAGTACAAGGTGCTTTTTATGTCTGAATGGAGAACAACACAGCCGAACAGACAGTAAAGCGAGAAAAACAGCCTAAGTCTTTAGCCACCTGCTGTATCTGTCTTTTCCAAAAGACCGAGGTGAATTAATCTGATAAAATCCCTTTCCAGGAGAAGGTTGCCGAAATCAGAAATGCGTAAATCCATTTCATAAATTCCTCCCAACTGTCACAGGTTCCCAAAATAAATCCACAGATTGGTCTTGTTTGTTGAAACTTCGTTATAGCGTGCTCCGACATTCATCCCTCTGTGCCTTTCAAGGGACACAAAGCTGAGAGGATTAGTGGGGCTTTCAGTGGCCTCCTCTGCCTGCACATATGTCACGTTAAAGCAAATAAAAACTTACCTAGTTGTAAGAACATAAGCTCATTTAGGTAATGAGGGCTGCATTCAGGTGGCTTTTTATAGCCGGAAAAACAATATATTACCATTGAGCTCTTGGTAGTCCAAGAAAACGAGAGCTATGTTATTTTAGACATGTGATTAAATAGTGAAAGTGTGTCGTTGTGTAATGAGATAAAAAAAAAACGTTCACACTCATTTGCTATTGGTAATGCTTTGCATGACTTAAACAGCCGTGTCATATACGTCATTATGAAGGAGTGGTCACCACACTCGTTTTTTTTTATTTGTCAGTTCAACCTAATGACATACATCACTAATTCCTTCATTTATATTTAGAGATTTACTGATTTATCTTTTAAATTCAATATATTGGATTAGTTCACTAGAACAGAGAGATAAGCTTGTAAAATAACAGTTAATAATCATATTCGCTTCGCTGTTTTAGGCCCAAACTATTAAAAAACAAGAGGTAAGAGCTATTTCTCCTCTAAAATCTTTCATAGTAAACGTGACTCACGTGGCATAGATTTGACAGAGTTGATGGGATTGTGACTCTGAAAGACAGGCTAATAAAGATGATAAAGATTTTTATTTAAATATGCTTAAAAAAAAGTCCAGTACGCCATCAATTCTATTCCAGAACTTATGGTAATGGATACATCTAAAAGTTAAAATAAACGGTAAAAAGATAGTGAGCAAACAAAACCCCACATCTTAAACTGCTAGTCCTGTTGTGGCTCTGGTGTCACTGTAATTTGGATTCTGCAAGTACAGAAAGCATTGTGTGAGATCATTTTGACAGAAGAGGGCAGCATTTCATTGTAAATAGTTGTGAGGTTGATAAATGGGCTGAAAAAAGCCTCATTCTCCCCTCACTCTTCAAACGAAACGCCTCTTTCGAGCAGCCACTCTAACCTAAAATCTGTTTTATCTTTGGTAAATGAACAGATTGACCATTCTCCTGGAAATCATTAGCGGGGGTGACTCTATTTTTAAACAGAAGTCATTTCTTACTCAGTACGAAACCTCAAAATTTAGACACATGGTGGGATGCAAAGTGTGAATAATTAGTAAGATAAATATAAAACCTTTATGACCAGTGTGTTTGTTAGATGAGAGGACAGTAGCAGAATTTTCAGGGAAAAGAAAACGCATAAAGAAAAACAGGGCTGGAGAGAGCGTGCAGTGTTGGGGGCCAAACTCTTTTCCGTCTGTTGCGTGCCTGCAGATAATTACCTTGAGCCTACAGAGAGCAGTATCCACTGGCTAAACAAGAAATGAGATCATGCTTACCTGTAGGAATACATGCCTGTGGGGACACCACTCTGTTAAAACTCTTCTCCAAAATCCCTGATATTTAATGTGTTCATACATTTACATTTAAAGAAGTGCATATTTAATCAAGTGATGTCACGTCACATTTTAGAAAACTAACTCTGAACCCTGCTGGATGTCATGATGATTTCTTGTGAGCTTAATATTATTTAGCTGTTAAAGATTTCAAAGAGTTTTTTTTAATGATACATCAAACCACTAAATTTAAATTCTTAATTACTTTGTGAAAAGTTTTTTTTAGAAAGGGGTTTCTAATATCTGTTATACCTCCTTCCTTGCTTGAATTACATGAAACATATTAATTGTAATTATTAATATGGAAATCTTTTCAAGCTTGTTTTTTTTCAAATAATTGTATGTTTTGTAAAACAAGAGACTACAGACTCTCATGGAAAATATAACACGACGAAAGTCCAGGGCCATTTTTATGCTCGCTTTTACATTTATTATATAATCTAAATATCTATTACTGTTTTCTTTTATTGAAGATTTGTTTCTTTTATTATTTTTATTTTATTTTGAAATGTGCCTTTAATGAAGTATCAGGCACTGAGGAGCATCTTTTTGTTACATCACAGCAAGTAAAAACTTGCACACATTACATTTTATAATTAGTTCTTGTTTATTGTCGGTCTTCACGGTCATATACAACTCTGAATGAGTTTGTCATTAACATTATAATTAAATTTGATATATCTTTGAAGTCTATCTCTAACAAGGCTATGCCAGCTTAAGCCATAATAACATATATTGAGTGACACAAGATTGACAAGATTGACATTAAATGTATATTTCCATACATCTCTAAATTGTAGATATTACAACTTTTGGTTGGTCAAAATCAAGATTTGTCAGCATTTTATTTGTGTAAAAAAAGAATTCAATAATATGGGATTTTTCTTGCTTCATAACCCAATTCCTTTCTAACAAACCCAATGAGACCTTTATAAAAGAGACTAATATTGACTAAGAATTTAAGTTATGTAATAAGCTTTAGGCACAAACAAGAATGGACACCAGAGTATTCTTTCTTTGTGCTGAACTCTGGTTTCAGGACAGATATTCAAAGAGGAAGGTTTATTTATTTATCAATGACTGATTAATCTTTCAAATGACCACAGTGTGTCAGTGAAGAAGTTGGGTAATTGCCGCCATGCATATCTGATTTATGCTGCCCTCAAGGAGGCCTTTCATGCAGAGCACAGCAGGCGTCTGTTCCATAGCAGTGTGTGTGTGTGTGTGTGTGTCCATACGTTGAGCCACAGCAGAGACTCCTGCTGTAAACTGAGGCTGCTGTCCAGGTTGCAATTACAAATCCAAGCTCTGTGGTCAATAATTGTGAAACACATGTATCAACAAATATATATGAGAGATTTTATGGAAAAAATATGTTTTTAATTGAGCCAAAACTCAACAACCTATCTTTTTATTCAACAGATTAAAACATTTTTAAAGTTCCTCCATACATTTGGACCTTGGAGGAATGTGGGGGCCTTGCTGCTTTTCCCAAATCTGCATCTCTTACAGATATTTCTTCCATCTAAAATGAAGCCTCGCCTTTGTGTTGAGGCTCTGCTAACAGGGGTTGACATTATTTCATATTGAGACTGGTAAGGAATGTTTCATTTCCAAGCAAGCCTATAAAACCTTTACCAGGATGAAAGTGTGTCCGCTGCTATGAGATTTTAACACGTACAGATTTGTTTCCTCTGGTAGAGCAAACTGAGCGGTCACTTTTAATTGCTCTCCTTCTGAAACCACATAAAGTCCACGGTTTGGGAAGGCATTTTGTGAGACCACCACAGTGACCAAAAACACTGACATAAAGGTGCCTAAGAGAATAAGTACACAATGAGACTGTTCAAACTTCAGCCTTCTTGTAGTGAAGTTTTGGTTTGGAATTAGAACAACAATGCTGATACTAATCAGAGCAGAAAGTGTGAACAGGTTTGGATTCATAATTAAATAAAGACACATTGGCTACGCATTCGTTTTTATTAAATGAAGGCTTAACTGAGTCCTGCCGTGTAAAAGCACAATTGTGAATCTCAAATGACCTATAAAGCCCCAGGTCCTGTTCCAGGAACTTTGCGTGTCAAGAGGAAATATGATCAATTAAATACAACAAGCGTGCACTTAGAGGTCTCCTGTCTATTTAATGCTGATGTTCAGCTGCATTTTTTTTTTAACTGGCATTGAACAATATATGGTCGACATAAAGTATAAGACTGATAATGATATAACAGCACAAACCTCCATTTCTCTCTTTTTTTCTTTTTGGGTCAATGCAGCACAACAACTTGGAAACCCTTTCTTCCCTCCGCTTTTTCATAATGATTTATTTCCTTGTAACTTTGCTTGTGAAATTGATGTGGAGCTGGGGCCTTTGTAATGTCTGGTTTCCCCCAAAGGCTGCTGTAAAAATCAGGCTGAGGTCTCCGAGCAGGGCAGCGCTTGCGTGACAGCGGAGTGGGGGAGCACCAGCCATAAGTCTGGGGCCGAGAGGCACCTGTGAGCACCCCCCCCCCCCCCCCTCCTCTGCATGTCACGATGTGGCCCCAGCATTCAAAGCGCTCCGGCTGATAGATTTGAGGGCCCTCGGTTAAGTGTGCAGATTTACGAGGGGGCAGTTGTAGCATGTCAGAGAAACTGTGTTACTTTTGCAGAGAGCACGAAATGAGGCCAGTGAGTAAGAAAGAAGGGGGAAAACGCTCAAAGGTGCTTTCAGGTTGTACCTGATATTATTAGGAAACACTCTAAATAATAGACCATTTTCCTGTTTTTCAAGAGAGGTGAGCAGAAGGATTAAATGTCACAAATGACTCCTGAAAGTGCGTTCGAATTTGTCTGTTCACCAGAGTCTTTCATCAACTGGGCAGATATGGGGGATAAGTTAGTGAGCAACCATGAAAACTATCCTTACTGAAAGCTTGACCTAGGGATTTCAGGTCTCTCCATCCCTCAGTTTCCTGTCTCCCCTTCTCACGTCATGTGAAACAGCAGGGATGATCATTGGACTTCACTCCGCACGCCGTGGCTCTCCTTCCCCCGTATGTAGCATCCTCATCAGCTCCATGGCTCATTCTTTACAGACCAGGCTTGAAAACAAGATGGGAAATGAGAAAAGCAAGATGGGAAGTGAGAAATCTGAGATAGTTAGGCACCTCTAAAAAAGTTTCCAAAACCAATGAATGGACACTCTCTTCCTGCCTCTGCCTCAAACAGCCCTTTTACTTTAAATTATTTCATCATTTTTTCTATTCTTGTCACAAAGAGTTAGTGCAGGCCATCTCTAATTTTGGCAAGGGAAGAAATTAATTAACTAATCTGTGTCTACACTCACCCCCCAAGTGTTTCGAGTGATTCTGATCCATAACTGCTAGAATTATTAATAGAAAATACTGCTTGTACAGAGGTTTTGGTCATTTTGATCTTGGGACTGAGAATATTTAAGGCCACTCTCTGAATATCTGAGAAGTACACCTCAGTACACATCTTAGTTATGATTGGTTATGATTCTCAACCAAAATAACCCCCTTCTCCAGCTTCTTATTGCTGCAAAGATGTATAAAAGTGAGAAAGCCGAGTTAACTGGTTAGATGCCAACAAGTGTTGCTCCAATCCATCATCAACTGCTTCTCGCTTACAAAAGTAAGTAGGCAACAACGGAAGAGTCTTTCAACTTTCTTTTGTTGTTAGAAAAAAAAGATATGAATAAACTACAACCTCAGGAACCGCAGCAAGAAAGGTTGTTTCGAAAACAGCCACTGCCAACATCCCTGAAGTATTTCAGGATTCAGACAGATTTCATAACATCCAGTCGGGTCTCACAGTTTAGGGAGCTGAAAGCTAAGCATTTAAAGTCATCTGGAATCATTCATCCTGTGTCCTTGTAGCTTGTCATTGCCTCTGCGGATGTTTGGGCCTTTAAAATGAACACTTGGTGAAGTTGTGGTAAAATGAGATTAAGGAGAACAAGTTGTTCAATTGCTGGTGTAATGTAGCAAAATCACCAGGTAGAGAGTGAGATAATTAATAATTAATAATTAAGAATGGCCATGCCAAATCTGTTGTTGATCAGTAAAGAAAGTTCAAGGAAGGATTAAACTTGAGAGAGCTGCTAAATATATTTTAGTAGCCATCTGGTCAAATATGAAAAGGTTGTCTAGGTCTTAAACTCAAAATTAGGTTTAAAAGTTACTTCAAAACTTAATTATAAGATTAAAATGAAAACCCCTATAGATTGTGGTACATCTCAAATAAAAGGATGTATAGAGCATCTTCTTTTGTGTCTCTGTACTTAGTATACAGATTACATTCAAGACTAATGTGCATCCTGAGCTCAGCGGGATATGATTTCATTTAAACTCCACAGTTGCTCCAGAATGACAAATTCTGCCTGTTTCCTCTGCCTCTCTCCATAGGAGACTCAAATTACCCCTGCTACACATTAGAGTGTGAGAATAAATTCCCTTGTAAATAAATGAGCTCAGATCAAACAAGGACGTAAATACGGAAAGCATCCATTCTCGTGCCAATTTCAATCAAATCTTGTTTGTATCTTTGTGTTTGCATTTGAGCAAGTTTCAGTTTAATGTGAAGGACCACCAGAAAAGTTTGTTTCTTGGAACTTTTTTTTTTTTTTTCACCGTCATCTCCATGGCTCATTTTTTATGCCTGTTGTCTGTAATTTAAGGCAGTCTCAGAACATAAAGATGTGGCCGTTCTGAGTACTTTGTGTACAGTCTGAATATGCGGTGCAGCTCTTTCACGAAATGCATTGTACAAACCACACAATTTAGGCTTGATGAGTGTTCATTTGGAGCATATAAATCTTCTTAGTTGGCCGCTTTGAATGTTCCACCAAATACGCTTAATGACAGATGTGT